AAGTAATGAAGCGTATGTACAAACAATACAAAAAAGGGGGAAACTGATGTACTGCTACAAATATTCAAATTATAATTCTAATGAATATTGATCAGAAGAGCGGTGTGCTACTTTGCAAGATCTTGATCAAGATAAGTTCTATGAAGTAAAGATGTGAGATTTGCATTTCTATCGGAGTATTTTAAAGACAGACTTTTTGCAGAACTGGGAAAATAATTTTCCGTAACTTTTGAATTTCCATATATTCAACTCAAGATTCATTATTTTGAGATTATTTAACTGATCAGTATGATAATCTATGTTAAGTAATGCTTTCAAATTGTTTTTAATCATTTTTCCATAAGTTACGATTTTTTATTTCTGTTACTATTCTTTAATTTTGAGGAGCAATGTAGATGCCAAAACATTTTTATTAGAGAAAAGTAGCGAAGATTCTTGCACTGAATAGTGTGATATGTATGTGCCGCCATTTTTTTATTGAGAAACGCTATGATAGCATTCAACCCTGTAAGGCACGACTTTGAAAATCGACATGCAGTGTTGCAAACTTGCGACAATTTCATTGCGAGACACTTGTAAACCATGCGTTCAGTCTAGGGTTAAGGAAACGTAACGGTCAACAGCAGTAAAAACAATGAAATAGGCATGATTGTTAATTGCAATAAGATATGGTTAATAGCAATAATCACTCAGGTATCTTTCGATTAACGAAGCACGCTCGAGAAAAGATTAGCTGATTGAAAAGGCTATTGGCTTTGGTATATTTATTATTACAAAGGACTCCAGGATCATCTGCCTAACGGGGGGAATAGCCTATGTGGAGGACTTTGTAAGTGAACTGTCTCGTGTACATGCTACCCTTGGGGAAAAATAAGAAGACGGTCATGCAGATAGCCCATTGATTGGTATTCGAACACGGACCGCATTACCACTGTTATCGACCTTTATCGCTACTCCGTTGGTTGGCCTGATTGAAAAGGAAAAGCGAGTTTTTGATATGCTCTTTAAACTAATCTTCCTACTATATTTCATTATGAGATCATTTTTCTTGGGTGTTAGCAAAATATAATTTCATTTTGTAGATTTCGGAACAAAGGTTTTCGGTATTGGTAAGGTCACAAAGGTATCTTTGTGATGTGAAAAGAATACTTTAATAAAAGACTTGAAAATTATTGGATCGGAATTTTTTTCCCGATTATTCGCAATGATGTCACTGCTTGGTTACTCGTGAGCTGAGTTTACTACATTTGGTGCTTTAACATATTACAATAACTATTGGCGCCTTCGTTAACTGAAAAATACTATCATTTACATTACTAATAAATTTAAACACGAAAAATAAATACCATACCCGAAGATAAACGTTTTAAAAAAATGCCGTTTTAAAGCGGAAATTTGCTAGAATTCTATGTCATATTAATATGCGCTTAGTTTGCTTTTTATTTGCATTTTTGAGATAGTTTGCCTATTTCAGTATCACATGCCATATGTTTATAATTATTATTCTTTCATGAGGTTTATTAAGGCCATTTAGAAGCTTTTATAACATAGCTAATAGAGTTAAACTTCATATTATAAAATAAAATAAAAATATTAATAGTTTTATTTTACAAAATATTAATAGTTTTATTAAATTATTAATAGTTTTTTAAATAATGAAATTTAATTACCACTCCCTGGATATCTGAGATAAAGGTATAGATGTTAAAAAAGCTCTCAACAAATGTAAATAAAAGTAACATCTTATCAAATTTTTATCATATTACCTTAAAAAATTAATAAATAAAATTTAATAAATATTTTTACATTTTCATACAATGCAGCAACATAATGCTTGCAACTTTTCTTCTTCTTGATAATGTACAAATATTAAAAAACAGAACAGAAGATATCATGTTTGGTAATTTGAAGCTATCTCACAGTTTTGTGCTGTTTTGCAAAAATAGAGGCTGAAAAATTTACCAACAGCACACATGTCTCCAACATCTAATTTCAAAAGAAAATATGCTTGATGTTTTTAGACTGCTTCTGTATTTACTTTCTAGAAATTTATTAGAAAAAAGAAAGCACTGATACAGAAGTTCCATTCTGCTGTTCTACCTTGGAAACTTAAAATATTGTCTGAATTTGTTTAAAATTATATGCAAGATACCCCATAAACTGAAACACTTTTCCCAGAACCAATATAAGATTTAAAAAAAAACTTGCGTATCAAAATTCGGTTTGACTTCTCTGAAAAAAAAAAAAAAAAAAAAAAAAAAAAAAACACTTTTTAATTTTTATTTTAGATTTTTTTTAAACCTGAGAGGGAGAAAATATATGATAGATGCTGCTGTTAATGTCCCGCTCCGCTGGAGCGAGTAAAATTAAGGCTGCAAATATTTATTAGTTTGCATTTTACCAGCAATACTCCTATTAATATTGCTATCCATTTTGAGCTTTCAGTCACATTTTGAGCTTTCAGAATCTTAAAAGATATTAATTTGCATATTTTCGCGATGTCAGAAGCATAGTGTCATTTAACTATAAAATTCTCAATTAATGCAGATTTTTCATTAGTTCTGCTCTCCCCTGCCGAAAAAGTTCGACTCTATATTAAGTGGAAACGATGTTATGGAATACCAGTTTATTCATTTTACATGATGTTTTTAAAATATGTTCAAATTTATAGAGAAGTTTCGGCAGAACTAAATACAGAAAATAATTTGGAGAACTTTTACTAAAAAGTATTGAAGCACATTAAAAAGATATTTACAAAAAGCATTGTTTTTAATGAAATATTTACTTAAAATGAAAACATAGACTGTAAGTATAATATTTAAATAAAGGTTTCCTTCTTGAAAGCATGTTCTTGATTTCGAAAATCAGTACATACTTGTTCTCATTCTCAGTTTTCAGCGCTTGCTCTCCAAGTGCATGCACACTTTTGCAAAAACATCGAAGCACCAAGAAGGACTTTTGCGATCGGGACGAAATTTGGTATACAAAAATATCTTGATCAAACATGCAAATGATCGAAGGTTCAAGGCAAATGAACAGGAATTGCGATCATAGCGCGCATTTCTATTGCGCAATTCGCAAAGTATAAAACAAGCAACAGAGGCGCAAAATTTATCTTTTTTTTTGTTGCTGCAATGGTAATTTCGTAAAGAAGCAACTAAAGATGCCATTACGACGATATCGAAAACTACAGACAACTAAACGACTTCGAACGTGTCGCAATGTAAAGTTGCGTGAAGCTGGGTGGTCTTACCGAGCAATAGGCCGCCACTTGCAGCATACAGACACTGTGCAAATACGTATGTTGGGAGCAATGGTTGTTACAAGGAAATTGCCGATGAAATGAAGGCTCTGAAAGGCCAAGGATCACAAATGCGAGGCAAGGTAGGATGATTGTTCGCCAGCCCCGATCCGCCCCAACTGTATCATTGTCGACTATTCAATGCACTACAGCCACGTCTATACCTCCCGTGGTACCGTCCACCATCTCACGGGGCATGTTTCTGAGGCGGGGTTACGGTCACAGAGGCTTTTAAGACATTTGCCTTTGACCCCGCAACATCGGCGGAGTCGTCTAGAGTGATGTCGCAGACGATCATCATGGCTGCATTCGGACCGACATCGTATAGTGTTCAGCGATGAATCCCACTTCACTCTTGAAGCAGACGACCATCGTGTTCGTGTCTGGAAAGGACGGGGACAGCGGTCCCAATCAGCCTTTGTTTTACAAAGGCATACAGCCATAAACCCTGGTGTGACGGTGTGGCGCGCTATTTCTTATGACAGCAGGTAATCTTTTCACCTCCGTACATGTTCAACAGCTCAACGATATGTTGATACCATCCTGCGGCCGGTTGCATTACCCTTCATATCACGTCATCCTGGGGGCATTTTCCAACAAGATAATGCCAGGCCACATAGCGCTCGCATATCTCTGGACTGTCTCCGTGCGGTTGATACTTTTTCTTGGCAGCAAGGCCTTTCACTAATCGAGCATGTCTGGGGCATGGTAGGCCGCCAGATTCGGGCACCACAAAATATCGCTGATATGGAGCGACAACTGTTGAATGCTTGGCAGAATGTGTCGCAACATTAGAAACCTCTACCACGCCTTGCCTCGGCGAATTCAAGCATGCATTGCCGCCAGGAAGGTTCGACAAACTACTAATTTGAACACTCAATGGGTTATTATGAGCCGTGAACAGGTATTATGATCTTGATTTTTTAATCATTTTATTATCTGTAAATACACACATTCAATTTCATCAAAAACAACCACTTCCTTCATGGTGCTTCGATTTTTTTGCCAAAGAGTGTATGTCACAAATGCTATATCCGAATTCATTCTTTTCTCTTCACAAAGAAATTTGTTTTTAATTATAAGCTAAATTGACTCACTTTCTTGAATCCCAATGCAAGCGTATCTGACACTCACTTTTGGCTGAGTGCCAACAAATTCGATATGCTTTTTGTAAAGCGCTGGTATTGCTGTGATAAGAAAATACCAGAACATTTTAAAAATATTTCGATATCCCATGGAAACAGGCAACAACAATTATCTTAAAATATGGTCACAAAAGGAAGGTATCTCTGTTAAATCTATGGAAAGTGTTCAGTTGAAAGACGAGAAAACTTTTAAGAATAGTTTAGAAAATGAGGTAATTCAGCACAAATCATAGAGATTTACGTTTAAATCCATTAAAAAAGATAAGTAACAAGTCTTAAGATGAACTTTCAGATTACCATGAATAGTTTTATAAATCAGAATTACTATTTTGGTGTTTTTCGACTTTGGTATTAAATTATGGCATAAGTTTGAATATCTTGGTTAGAATTGCATAGTTTTAGATTTAAATATTAAGTGTAAAAGATAAAGCATGCAGAAATTTTAGATAAAAAGGAAATAAACGATTTTATCATTTTTTTTCAATTTAAGGCTTTAAAGTCCATTTTTTTCTATGTCTGATATTAATAATAGTGATACGGTGAACAAAACAGGAAAAAATTGCAGATGTTCTTTATATTATCAGTTAGCAACAGGTGGTAAAATTATTGTATATATATGCGTATGAATCTGAATTTGGTCGGAGGTCAGACTAACAATTTTTTTATCCTAAACTCCGATCTTCGAAAGGTGAGTCAGACGTAATTTGCATATTAATTTCTATAAGAAAACAAATGTAATGATTTTCGTAAGGATTAAAGCTGTATTTCTGAACCGAAAAGAGATATATGATCGTATAAAATGAAATTATGGATAGTGAGATTTAAATAATTTGGTTTTTTCCCCTAAAGAATTCATGAAAGTTCTGTATTAAATTTTTACTTTCTGACAAATTAAGCACGATTAGGAGTTTGGGCAGTTTAGATTTATTTTATATTGCAGCTGCAAAAGGTGTCGCAAAAGAAATATTTATTTATGAATATTTTATGTCTGCTATTTACTAAATTTGAAAATTAAAAATTTCTCCAAAATGTGCCTTAGATATGATCTACTTTGAGAACCATTCTTAAACTAAATTAATTTAAGAGGATAATGGAAAAATTATCTATGCATAATTCAAATTAAATAAATATATATATATATAAATCAATTTATTATTACATGTATAATTAATTCAACATATTCGTATTTTTTAATATTTAAAAAAATTGATTTAATTTATATTACTCATGTTATTATCATGTAAGACATGTATAAGTATGTATACATAACATGAAATCCGGTGTATATATACATGTATGTGTGTGTGTGTGTGTGTATGTGTAATGATTTAAATGTTGGTAATATGAAAATGCGCAAAGAGTAGCTGCAGTCGTGATACACGCATTTTAGTAATTCTTTCTTCTCCTTGATAAAAAATTTTAGCTTATAGTGATACAGTAGGTATAGTGGCGAAAATATAACTCATATCAGAGAGGTTAAGCAATTACAGTTTTTAGGCATAAAGAGGAAAAAATTCAAATAGAAAGTTAAGGGATTATTGCAAATTAAATTTAAGAAAGTTATAATAAAATACTTCTTTAGCTTGCATATATATTTATATCTCACATGATTAGTTTCTTTCATATCAGAAGCAAATTTCTTACGTGATAAATATTACTTAACCATGCTGAGGATTCTTAATAAAGGAACACATTACTTCTTCGGTATTATTGGTTTATTATAAATCTTGGTCTCTATTATTAATAATTTAATTGGTCGCTATTATTCATAATTAATAATTTAATTGGTCTCTATAATTAATCTTCATTCTTTACTTTTGCAGTACTGCTACATTTTGACAAAATTACAAGTGTGTGTGAAAAGAATTTTATATCTATGTATTGAAAGAGAAAGAAATCCAGTGTAGTCAGTTGAGACCATAAGAACGGTAGCATGATTCATTTTGTTTACAAGAATCAAATTATTGAACATCTCGAAACAATACAAAATAATTATTCCAATATTTTTGGCAAAAACCTTCAGTAATTTCATTCTGGACGTTACAGCTACCTATAATTCAACGAATTGCTCCATAATTTTAGACTATTAGAATGTCACAGATAGTGTCCTTCAAAAACCCTACGAACTTTTCATACAGGGTGGTCGTAAAAAACTTCCCCGATATATGAAATCCACTCAACCAATCGAAGTGAAATTTCAGGTATTGTAATGTAAAGTTATGCGCTCGAGATTGTGATGATTTAAAACAACAGAGCTCTCATGGCTACAGTTATAATAAAAAAATTTCGAACGGCAACACTCACGTTTTTCCTGCGTAAGTGATCAGCGCATTGTAAAACCATACATGGCTTTGGAACGATACACGCATTGCAAATTAGAGCATAAAAACACAAGATGGGAGAGGAAGAAAAATATTAAACGCGTTGTACACTTTTAAAAAAGTCTTCAGTGTCTGCAACGTTTCAAGACAGAGTCATCTTCTGTAACACTGTAGTTTTGTAGCCACCGCGATCCCCTGAAATTACTCCTGTGCACTTCTTGGTCTGAGATTATCTGAAATCTAAAGTCTACACATGAAATCGAGGAATGTAATTCCTATACAAGTCTCCCCTCTTGCTCTTTTTTGTTGTCATTGATTCCCACTGTAACCGTATCTGTGAGAGCTTTATTGTTTAAAATCATCTCAATCTTGAGCGCATACCTTCAAACGACGATACCTGCAATTTTATTTCTATTATTTGAACAGATAGGCTGCTAGGGGTTCAAATATTGGGGAAGTCTTTTTATGACAACTCTGTATATTTCTTCATCATTCCCATTTTACAGAACTCACAAAAGCCATATATAAGAATATTGTTTCGTCTTGGATATGTTCATTTTGATGGACTACACACTGCGTTTTAGAAGCTCACGCGCGCTACAACATTTAACTACTCTGGCACTGACAATTAGGGGAATGAAGGCTTATAGGGAAGTTTCAAATAAAACCTTAAATTATTAGTTAAAATAAATATAAATCCAAGTTATTTTCCTTTGCCGCAAAGAACCTTTGGTTGGAGAGAGGAATTATTCATATAAAATGCAAAATACAATAGACCAGATTCAAAGAGGGTAACATTCTATATCAGTTTTTAACTAGCTTTTCTGTGAAGAGACTAAGCATGAAATAAACAGTTGAAGATTTCGAGTTACCCTAAACATCAGAACGTAATCGTAGACGTCCGCATTACTGGCTATTTGAACAAGAGATGACTGGGATGTGTACCCATTAGCACCCCGGATGCTGAGCCCATAATGACTTTGACGAATGCAAACTGGCAACATTTGCTATTCTCGTTACCTTCATACACGGATATGTTCATCGTGAAGCTGCACTCAGAACTGGGATTAGTCTGAAAAGACAAAGTGGTGTTACTCCTGTGTCTAATGTCGTCTTTAGGCGTACCGGTGTAAGCGCGTCTTTCGGTGTACCACTGTAAGCAAGGGAGGCCGTGCTAACAGTCCATGGTACAGCAGATGTGGTTTCACTGTCTGTGCGTATCCTTATCGTCCTGCATTATTATCATTATCGTCCTTATCGTCTATACGGATCCTCATCTACATTAACCAGTTCCTGACTCAGGGGACATGATGTAGCTGTAGGATCTCTCAAGGACAGGAGGACAAGATACTCGTTTTCTTGGGTGTTAGTGCTCTGGGCCGCTGAGATAAATATGATCGATTCCACATCCATTTGATATTTATGAGATCCGCACCATCACGAACAGTAATCAAGCGGAACGATAACCGCAGTCTCGATATGCCACCGTCCTGCCGCGATCGAATTCCAAGTGCTAGTAAGAAATTCTCCTTCTCGTATGAGGGATGATAACATGAACTTTATGAAAACAATCAATGATGTTCAATTGCGATTTCTAATTGAGAAATCTTCTGGTAAATATAAGGAATTTGTTTGAAATCTTCTCATTTAGATAAAATATAGATGGTGTTATCCATACATGCTTTAAACGCATGCGCTGGAATGCTGATCAGTTGTATATCTCAGCATGTAGTACTTTTTATACAAATTTGACGTTTGTTGCAAACAGCCCTCATGGTACAGCAATTTTAATTGACAGCAGAGTAGATGAAGATTTATATTTGTTTTTAACAACTCAAAAGTGTCAAAGTTTGGATAATATTTCTCTTATTAACAAAATATTAATAAACGTTAGAACTTACATTAATGAGATAGATGACCTGTATTTAGATGTAAGCTACAAATTTATGTTTGAGATCGACTCACACATCAATTCAATTTCGGTACCTTGCTTGAATTTATGTTGAAAACTCTCTCATACACAGATATAAGTATATTGAATTGTACTTTTTAAAACATCGTTGTACAGTTCACTACAATTTGTTTTCAATGCTAATGATGTTCAGAAATTTACGATACCTTCTACTTGAAATTTCATTTTAAGTTTGGTATAATTCAAAAGTTAAATTAAACTGCTCTCTTTCATCCAATGACATTTTGCTATTTTCAGTATCGCATTGGGAAGGATCACAAACAAATTCCTTATATTTACCAGTTAGAAACAAATTTAAAATTGCGGCCTCAGTATTTTGAGATGTTAACATGAGTCCCTGTATAATTCTCTAGAGTAATGATATCATTTTCTACTAAAAAAATTCCAAGTCTAGAAAATATGAAAAATTTCTTTGTTGTACACGGCTAACCCACAAGCAAAACCTCTTTTTCCCATGAACATAGAGAACAGTCAAAGAGTTATCCTGTTCACAGAGATTTAATGAATTAGTTTTGAGAATATATTTGAAAGATGTGCCAAAATATTTAGCCAGATCTCACCAAAGGGAAAAAAAGTATAAAATCTTCGTTAATTCCGTTTTAAAATAACAAGATTTTTTGTCTCAATTCAAGAACTTTGAATACCTGGAGGGTATCTTACCCAGTGAGAAGGCAGCGAACTAAATGAAGAAGAAGCTTTCTGTACTCGCTATCCATGTCATAACATAAGAATGAAAATATTCTGTTGTTCGGAGGACTTCTGATTCTGCGGCTTTAACTTAATAAAGTTGATTATTGTAATGCTGTTTTCTTACAAGGTTCTGAATTTTGATAACATACTTTTGGTAGTTAAAGCTGCTTGTGAAAGAAATAATAAGTCCATGTAACATGAGATGTCACAGCTCCAACCTTAGCTACAACGCCACTATACCTACCCGGTAAGTGCACGAACCCTATCCGAAAAAACCTGCACACTTTTCCAGTCAATTTCATACTCTTGCATTCATTCATTTAGCACTTTAAAAACTTGTTCTCTAGTTGTAAAAGATGGGAGAGTCTTCGAAAATATCATATCTTCATGAAAGGTATTGTTAAACTCCTAGCTGACCTATTAAATCAATTGTAACTTATTCGAAATTTCTGTTGTCTCGCATTTTCGAAGTAAGTAAAATAGACTTTTGTCACTAAAAATTTTGTTTTGTTGGTAAGTCCGTATTCTATGTTACAAACTATGTCACTGACTCTGCGTGTAATTGTTTATTTGAGAGTGGTATGAAATCAAACAATATCTTTCGTAACTGGAAGTATTAACGTCTCACTTGTAAAATAGGTTATCTCGATCTCCGCGATGGGAAGACTTGCAGTGTAGGTTGTAAAACATACAAAAATGCTTGCCTTGTCCTCCGTGTTTTTCTTTGGCCACTGGGCAATTCTCCTCTTTATTGCAACACTTCAAGAGATATTAATACAAATGACCAATACATGTTCGCACAAAAACACGTTTTAATGTGAGCGAAAATATACATAAGGTTAAAGGATACATTGAACGTCTAAGTGAAATTTTTAAAATCCAGCACGATGTGCGAGTCTCTCCTTCAGCGAGCCATCTGCGTTGTGAGTTCACAGTTCAACACAGTGACGTCACAGAGGAGGCGTCTTAATTCGCAACAGTCCGTTTTAGTGTCAGAATTTATATTAGAAATAGCTTTGATTTTTTTGTTGAGTTCTTCAACATATCGGTGAAAAATTCAACATCTTTACTTTTTACCCTTGGTATTTCGTCTCTAGGCGTCGTTTCAGTTCCGAAGGTTTCATGCAACTGTTTGCTAGTTCTTCGAAACGTACAACTTACTGAGGTTTTTAGTTCATTCACATTGCCACATCAAGTAAATCAAGTTTCGGAGGAATTCTCATCATATTGTAGAGCTAACTTTCTTTGAACAGCTGGGATTATCACTAAATGTTTCTTTAATGACAAACTGATACTAATATCACAATCACACACAGATTCATTAAAAACTTTGTCTAAATGAAGCATTGTATATTAAAGCATTGTCTAAATAAAGGGCATCACCGCGTCTCTTTCATTTCAAAGATCCAGGCCGAAGCCATATCTTCAGTATGTGCAAAGGACATTATGTAACAGGGATAACTACTAACATGTATCACAAAAGAAGGATGTCAAACAACTCCTACGTAAGTACAAGCAACCGGGAATATATATTATAAAATGCCAGTGGCGGAAGAAATGGTAATGGACGATTGTCATGTGTAATTTCCAAAGTCTGAGAGAGACAATTACAGTGTGATATGCGGCCCCAGCTAATTTGAATTTTATTTTTGTCTTTTGTACCAAATCTAGGAGGACAGTAAGTTCGGGCTCTAAGAAAACGTTGGTTTATGCAATAAAGTTTATCATATTGTAAAGTTCACTCAGTCTGCATGCTTCAGTATTTTTATTTCAAAATAATAACTTTTCTTCTTTGTGATCGAATTTCTGCCTTAGATTAATAATTAGTTATGCAAAATAGGTCCATCTGAAAGTAGATTACAGTTGCATAGTGTACAGTTTTAAAACTTAGGTTTTTAGCGTTTTGTTTACTTTTAAATTCGAAACATCATTTAAAAGAAGATGTAAGAGAAGTGTTATAGAGTAAAATTTTGCTTAGTATATCTTTCGAATCGGGATTTCTTTATCAAAATATAAGAAAATACTAGAATACATTTCATAATACATGTCAATAAAATATAATGTTCATAATACAATGTCATTTCATAGAACACATGTCAATAAATTTGAAAATGCTTGTCAGAAATTCATGCAACTTTTTATTTATACTAATCTTATTTCAGCCACATCATGACGAGCATTGTACTGCCCTTTCTACTGTCCATGTTTCTGGGTCGGACCATAGACTTGACAACTTATACTGTTGGAGGTGATATTTACGATCATCAAGACTACATAGAAGTACGTGCGAATTTTAGTTCTGATTTTAAACAATAAAATTTACATAAAAAATAACATTTAACATAAAAAATAAAATTTAATATAAAATTTCATTATAAAAATCTTTTACCTTATTCACTTTTCTAGCTAACAACAAGAAACGTACATCTTTAATTCTTATAACTGGTAGTATTTAAGTGAAACTTAAAGATATAAAGTAGTATTAAATTAAAATCATCAATAAATTTAGAAGTCTTAAAAAGTCAAATTTATTTCGATATTTCAATAATATGGCTCTTAAAATTAGATATATTTAGCTTTTGATACTTACATATGGTAGTGAGATGAATCTGAAAACAATATTAGTTGTTAAGATTTCTATAGTAAGAAAACAGCATGTAGTTATTAGAAAAGTTTCTCTAGAATTTAAGGAAGATATTCTCAAGTTGATAGTCTGAAGTCCTTCAAAGGCTTTTTAAATTTTGAAGAGGATTTGAAAAGAAATTTATCGTTTTGTCCATTGCTAGGTCAATCATGATCACAAAAATACTTGAGGACAAGTGCAGTTATCAAACAGAATATGTAGAAGTGGGATTTACAGCAGTGTTTTTTTTTTTTTTTTTTTTTTTTTTTTTTTTTTTTTTTGTGCTTGACATTAGAAGCGTTTTTAGCCAGAGTCTTTGTCTTTTCGAATTTGAAAAGAGGTATCTTATGCTTTGATAACACGAAATTTATCATTCACCAGGTTAGAGATTCTTGCTATTATACAAATTATAAGATTTGTTTATCTTCCAGGCGTCTGGTAGACAGCCAGGTTCTAAAGTAAACATTGAAAGCTACACAACATCACAGGGTACTTTTCAAATTCCTGTAATAAACTGAGAATAAGCTTCTTAATAACATTTCTTTTAATTTTTTAACAATAAACTTAATTTCATTAGATATTAAAATATAATAAATGACAAGAAGTAAACTTATAACATACTAAAATAAATAACAAATACAATAAACAAGCATAAACAATAATTAGGTATATTAATAAAACAGTTTCTCTCCTCTAGTTTTCTCCTTACTCCAAAGCAAGTACATGCATGCGTATCTAAACAAATGTCAATACTTTAGCTATTAACCGTTTAATATTAGAAAAGATATAAAATAAAAGCGCTAACTCAACTAACTGAAAGGCCACATAAATAATTTTATAAACACGGTAATTACTTCAGTTACTCATTCGATAGGAATAATTGATAATGAATATGTAAATATTTTTCACAGAGGAGTCTAATATTTTTAAAAATATAATAATCATACATATCAAAGGCATTCAGTTATGAATGCATTTCAGACATTTAATAAAAAGTATAATCATAAATTGAGAATCATAAATTGAGAATAAAGAAAAGTATAATCATAAATTGATATATCCTTCTTATGAGAATTAAAATAATTTATATTATTGGTTGTAAAACCTTTTTCCTATACAATTTAATAATTTAATTTATTATAATTTTTCACTTCTAATCATAACTTGACATCTCTAAAGTTAAATCATGTCAAAAACTTGTGTCTAATGAAGTATATTAAAAAATAAATGTAATGTCTATTTTCCAATGGTTACAAATTTTGGATATTAACAGGTAATATTCATTCTAATCTCCAACTTTTGATCTCCTTATTTTTCTGTAAAATCTCAGGCACTGAAGTTCCTATTTCATTTAGTGATAGACTGCTTAAGTGACAAATTAAACACAACAGAAATTCCGTTTCGACTAAGAATGTAAGAGGATGTGCTTTCTTTGAAATCCATTTCTGAAATTAATTTTCATGGTTTGATTTCTGAATATCATACCCGTCAATCTAATGTTAAAATGTACTAAGATAATTTACCACTGATCCATTAATATTTATTTCAAAAGTAAAAAATATTTATTTATACCAGCAAAAATATACCCTTTATATATAAAACTTGCATCACATCATATCTACATGACCTCTTGTTTTTCAAAAACTTGAAAATTCGAAGTTACGATGCATCTTATGTTTTCTTATTTTCAGGTATATGTGGTACTTAGAAATTTCGTCCTTCTTTTTAGGTAACATTATTTACTTTAGAAGCTAAATACATGTAATTTATAGATATATTAAACATGTGGGATATATGATTACCAAGCTTCAGTAAATGAAATGTGGAAATATTGAAAAACGGTATATAAAATACGGATATACTGAAGTGTGATTTCCAAAGTATTTCAGTTTTTCTCCTACAGTAGGATTTAAGAAATTTTGAATCAAAAGTAGATGCGATTAAATTCTTAAATAATAAGGAATACTTTAAAGAATGCGATCACATTTAAAAAGACTTTCTTATAGCGACAACGTAATTGAAATATTATTTTTTTTTTTGAAATGAAATGTAAGATCTTTGATTTCAAATTATTGTTTCTTTATAAAGAAGTGTCTCACAGTTCCATGAGGTCTGCATTATGACTCAGTAACATTTATTATATTCCAGACCCCTTTGAATATAACGAGTACCAGGTACTATGTATTTCAAGACAACACATACCCTTACCCTACCATGGGTATCCCGGTGGACATTGTGCTGCGAATCAAAGGCAACTATTTGAGTTCAACTTCTGGAATAATGGGCTTGGATGGAGTTTTAAAGGATACTATATGGAAATATGATAGTGTCATGGTGGCCATCTTTACTGTGATTCAAACGGTAAAATCATATATACTTTTTTACGCGCTTATGAGCATAATCCTTCAGTACGTTAAAATGAATATGATCTTTAATTAATAACTTCGGAATAATTTTGAAAACATCAATATGAATGACAAGGTAGAGACGAATTTTCTAATGTTTATAATAATTCTGATTATTTTGCACTATATATTACTCGTCTCAGAGTTTGCCTTCATAACATAGAATACACTTTAAAAGTATAGAAATTAATCCAATTTTTTCTGGTTTCAAGATTTTCATCATCATAAGGTATAAACTAAATATTTCGGAATGTATTTAAATACATCAGAATTCGTTTTAAAATTTTATCCTATAGAAGTAAAAAATACATGAAAAGCGCTGTACTTTAAGAAATTTATATAGTTAAAAACTATTTAAAGATCATATTATATGATGACAAAGAATCCTATCTATTCCTTCAAAACCAATAGGATAATATAGTATTTATTTATAATTTTTTTCTAACAATTAATGCAACTGCTGAACTACCTTAGCCTTTTCCCCTGGATAACTGAAAAAGTCTACAGCTATAAAATAACTTGTACTATACTACACTCCGTTTGTTACTGAGAATTGCTGCCTGTAGAAAGTCTTAAATCTTCTAAAAATAGTATGAGGAAGTTAAACCTTTTGCGTTGATTTCACCATTAGTATGCAAACTCCAGATACAAGCTTTTCTGTTGTGTCTCTTCCGAGAGTTTATCAAGTAAGCCTTCCACTGAAAGTTCTTTATGAAGACTTAAGACTCTCATTTAAGCCAACTTCATCCTATATTCTACTATCAATCAAGAGCACTCCCATGCCCGTATTAACATGGAAATGCAATCAGACCATAAGCTAAACTGAAAATAAAAACTGAAGTCATTATTTATTTTCCAAAATGGAATTCAATAAACTGAATGAAGAGCAATTATCAGTTAGAAAAGCAGTTATTAAGCTCATTTAAAATTTCTCAAGGCATTTAAGAAATGATTAAAATCATAAATGCTTTCAAATTATATTCAAGAAAAAATGTTAACTTTTTTCTTTGTTACAGGAATAAAAATATTGGATCTGACAGTACTTTTATTCTTTAACTAAGTTATTTTTCTATCATGTGTAACTAAACACTTGGATAAAATTATATACAAAAATGTTCAAGAAATTTAATGCCAGAAATTTGCTGAAATGCAAAATGTAAACAGATCACCTGAACCTTTAAATGGCAAATGCTTAGAATCCATTTTTACCATAACTCTGGTTCTAGGGAAGCGTTTTACATGAGATTTGTTTTAAAATGCCAATATGAAATCAAAATTTAATATCAAAACATATGATAGACATCTGAAGTAAAGTAAATTACAGTTTAATTATTATATTCTTCAGATAATGTAAATGCGAATTATCGAGTTTATAGCAATCTCTTTCATGCAATTAAGACATTTAACAAATACTAGGTACCACTCTTTTAAGCGTTTTCAATAAATCAATCAAGAGCCAATCTTAAAATGGATAGAGATTAGGAGACTTAAGATAATCAATCACATGTATTTTAAAGTAAGAGAGATTTTAAATTAAAACAAAGAAATTAACTTTAGATTATATAATTTATAATAATTATAAATAAAGCTATTTTTATGCTGAAATAGCTCATGGTATTTATGAAATTGCAAGTGATATATTTTGTATATACAGTGGATGGACAAAAATATGGAAACACCTTGTGAAATGCATGTTTGAAAAGAAAGATTGATTTTAATGAAATATGTAGGTGGCGCTGGCGTTTTTGACTACTGACGCCACCTATACAACTTCGTAAATGTGCTAAACAGTTCAGTTGTTGTCGGAGTACTGTTATGTGAGGTTGTTATTGCATTATGTCAGAGTTAACAGACTTCGAAAGTGAGCAAATTGTTGGAGCACGTATGGTAGGTGCTTCCGTAAGCAAGGTAGCCGAGGTGTTTAGCGTTTCAAGAGATACTGTATCGAAGATTTATTCCGCGTATATCACAGCGCGGACGAAAGTGTGCCCTGAGTGATCGTGACAGACGATCATTAAGGGCAATTGTGACGAAAAATAAGAAGACCACAGCTGCAAAGTTACTGCTGAAATGAATGTTGTGTTACCGAACCCTGCGAGTACCAAAACAATTAGAAGGGAGCTTCATAAATAGGTAATTGCTGGCCGTGCTGCAATTGAGAAGCCACTCATTAGTGATGCTAATACCCGTAACAGGAAAAGGTGGTCTTTAAGTCATAAAGCCTGGACTATAGAGCAGTGGAAGCGAGTAATATGGTCTGACGAGTCTTCTTTCACATTGTTTCCCACTTCTGGCCAAGTTTACGGCTGGAGAACGCCATCTCAAGCCTATAATACAGACTGCTTGTTGCCAAGAGTGAAACATGGAGGGGGTTCTGTTATGGTTTGGGCAGTCATATCGTGGTCTCTGCTAGCCCCATGATAACTGTGTCAGGGTACATGACTGCCAAGACTTATGTGAACATTTTGGCCGATCAAGTTCATCCCATGGTACAAAATTTGTTCCCCGATGGTGATGGTGTCTTCCAAGACGACAAAGCCCCTGTTCACACAGCTCACATTGTTCAGGACTGGTTTTCTGAGCACGAGGATGAGTTGTCCCATCTCCCCTGGCCACCACAGTCACCAGACCTGAATATTATCGAACCTTTGTGGTCTACATTGGAATGGAAAGTGCGTTCTCGTTATCCACCGCCAACATCGTTATCTGAACTTGCCACCGTTTCGCAGGAAGAATGCTATAATATTCCCTTGGCAAACATACAGGAACTGTATTTATCCATTCCGAGAAGACTGCAAGCTGTTTTGGATGCCAACGGGTTTCACCGTATTAAGCAAAGAAACATGTTTTTTTAAAGGTGTTTCCATACTTTGTCCAACCCCTGTATATGTATGTATATGATATTGCAATAGTTCATAGTTTATTTGAAATTATCAGACTATATATATACATTTGAAACCAATTCCACAGTAACCTTTTCAGAAATATTAAATTTCTAATATTTTAAATTTCTTGTAAAATAATCAAAAATCTGCATGAAAATATAATTGAGTAGATTTTTGTTTTAGTAGAAGGGTGTTCAGCGATTCGAAACTGTTGTTTTGTTTAAGTTGCAAGTAAATGAAAGATAGAGACAATAAAAATAAATTGACGAATCTTCGAGAACTTACTTGTAGCTAATCGTGACGCCTTCTGTAATGGAGGAAATAAGAAAAATAATGAAAAGAAACTAAGCAACTTCTGTCATCTAAGGATGGGAAATAGATCAGAACGTATTACTACAGTTAGAAAATGGAAAGTGAAATGAATATTCTACAACGAAAGCCTTTTCCTTGTTTAATGAAAATGATAAAGATACAGTTCTCGAAGGTTATCTTTTTATCATAACATTAAATGTCGCATTCTTTGCTCCAAACTTTAATTTGGGACTAATTCATTCTTATTCTCATCATTTCCTTTGATGGTACTTAAAATTCACACTTAAAATGATTAATAAAAGTGTGAATACATAATAGGTAGCTTCTAAAAAATATGATAAATTCCTACATCACTTAAAGTTTTAGTATTACCAAATCATATTTCCTTTTAAAAATAATTTCGATACAATTTAAAACCGAAGGATAAATTTACCAATATTTTTGAAGTTTTTAGAGCATTTAATCGATTTATGTCTTTTTATATATACCATTTAAAAATATGCTTTTTTAATCAGTTATAATATTTTTCATTTGCTAAAATTTAATTATTGAAAAGGTATTGACGCAAAAGTAAATTAAAATTTGCATAGGGGGTCGATCCTAGAGAGCGTTACTAATGGTTATTTGGGTAAGATTACTGCACCAAAAATTCGCCCGACATTTTAATGAACGTACTGGTTACAAAAGGTTTCATTGCTTTTCTCACTTTCACGTTGCCGTTATCTACCGTTACAATAATACGAACTAATTTCCGTTAAAATGGCCTCTACAAAATTATCCTTATTAAGGAAGATAATTTTTATCTACATACAATTTTAATTGATGATGTAGATAATTTTTGTCTACATCATCAATTAGCCAGTAAACCTGTTGTTCCAAGGAATATCATATGAATAAGAAATGAAAGCACAATTCAAAATCCGTGTGATAAAAAACCTGAATTATCTGCGAAATACACTAATTTATTTAATTTATTATTTCATATTAATAACAAACGATGCTTTTGTTAAAAATGTTTTGAAGCTTTATAATAAAATCTTATCCATGATAAGAATTTGAAATATTAGTTTTCTTCTTGAGAAACATATTTCCTCTTGTAAGTAAAATTAATGAATTAATATTTTATGCTTGATTTTTTATGAGTTTAATGAGTTTTTATGATTTTTATAAACTCATAAAAATCAAGCCTTCGCTGTATGAACGCTTGGATTTTTTATGAGTTTTTGGAAGGTTAACAGATTTATAGTGTGTGTGTGTGTGTGTATTTAATTATGGCAAAGCACACTAGGGCTATCTACTTGGGAGGGATGCCTTCGTGGAGGACTTTCTAAGGGAAACTGGCTCGTATACACGTTACACATGGGGAAAACCACGAAAACACCCATGCAGCCAGCCCGTTCGCGGGATTCGAACCTCGGACCGAACTACCAGTGTTCAGCGACTTTACCGCTCGGCCGCTGGTGTGCCTACAGATTTATGGGACCCAGCCTTTCCTTTGTATTAATATTTGGTAATACATAATAGCATTAATTCCCTCAAATATTTTAGACTCGCAGAGATCTGAAACCAGATGCAAGCCTCGTTTCCAACTGGACAGACCGACTTGAAGATACGCAGACCCACTATGTAAATTCTATTATTTATGGAGGCTGGAACGCAATTTTTCTCCGACTGAAATGTGACTTACCTGGTGACATTGAAGCAGTGAGGAAAACTTTGGCATCCGTTCTTGGAGTGACTGGGCAAGTAGGACCGGAAATAGTGGGTGAGAATTCAGTTCTTATAGTTTTTCTCAGCTTTAAATTCTAACCTGGCATACGTGAGCTTTTCCTCTAATGTTCTACTTGTTAACTTTATGATTCGACAGTTTATCATCCTACATCACTTTAGTTTATATTTTATCAAAACAGTCCTCCCACAGATAGACCAAACTAATGTAATTTATTAAAAGGCATTGCCAGTACCATTAAATCTTACCTTGTCAATGATAGCGGGGCAGCGGCACACCGAGGCAATTAGCAAATTGGACAATAAGCCCCTCTGATGAAAGTATTTTTGCTTCAAATTGCCCAGATTGTAAACCTCCCAAGTGATCCTTAATGAAAGGGAAAGTAAACGGATATATTTAAGTTCATTTCTGAAATCCCATTGCAAAGACATTAGGTATTTTTTTGGAAGCAGGAAAGATGAAAAATTAGCAACGCCTTCGCCGAGAATCGAACCGCAGACCTCTCAATTACGTGCTGAGCGGGCAGAACCACTACACCACGAAGGCTCGCTAAGAAAGCGGGGTAAATACCTTATAACATTTCGTGAGATTCCTGTCAAGGGTTAGGCGAGTGAATGGTTAAGGATGAATTATGTAACACTACTGGAAGAAAACATATTTAGTTTTATTGAGTTTTCCTGACGCTCTACTGATTAATAGAGGTCAGCTTAGTTATACGGTTATGAATTTTAAGGTGACAGAATTTTCTTTGTATAAGAATTATTGTCTTGCTATGGGAAATTTCCACATTTCAAAGAACCTGAAGTACCTGAATGTAATAAGAGAAATGGTAACATTAAATTAAACATTTAACGTTAACATAATAGCGTTATTTTGTAGAATACTAATTTAAGTACAATTGAAATTATTTGTTACTGGAAATACCACCACGAAATTTTCTTGTTTCTGTAACATGGAAGAACAGTGATCAATCTCTTTCTATCATGAACTCTTCAATTCAAAACGAGGTGAGAATTTCCTAATCCACGTTACACCTACAAGTACGTAGGATTAGTGGTCAAAGTATGTAGGATTAGTGGTAAGATCTGTATTAGTGGTCAAAGCAACTAAATACATATCTTTTGATCCGATTTGGATTCCAAGAATAGGGGCTGGTTTCAAAAACGGTTTCCTCTTTTCCAAATATTTGACGTGAATACTATAGTTAGAATGTCCTCTACAAAGGTTCATTTCCTTGAAATATAATCATGAGAGCTTTACTTTAATTATATATAACAATTACCTGCAATCTATCATGTCACATCTAACATGAACGCAAACTTTCTCTTGGAATAGCCTCCATTAAAGCATATTTGCCATCACACATATAACCCAGGTGAGCTTTGCCGTAATAAATATATTCAAAATCAGCCGGGTTTTACTTGATCTGAAACTGGTAATTAGTCCAATAACTCAAACAGACGTAAAGCAAATTATCTTTATATTTGAATTAACTAAGAGGTCTTCAGAAGCTTTAAAAATTCTTTTATTTAAGCCGAATTTAGGTTTCATTTACGAGTTTTATTCATATTTTAATTCATATGAAGAATGCACCGAGGATTTTCAAATTTATGAATGTAAAAACTACTTTTTTTCAAGTTTTGGTATTTATCAATATTTTCTAGCCTTTTCGTTGTTTAATTTATAAAATAGGTTAAAATTTCTTCTAAATCTAGATAAATAAATACACTTATTTTTAGAGTTTTAGAAATGAGAAAGGGAATGAATAATTTTCTAGCAGTGGTGAAAGGGGTGCATGGAGCAAAAAAAGGGGTTGAGAACAACTATTTACGGATTAGAATTCATGACAAAGAAACAAAATTATCTATTCCCCCAAAAGGCCGTTTAAAATATTTATTATTCTTTTATCCTCCGTACTAATTTAATTTGTTATTTACTATTACTTTAACTTAATTTATTTATATATTTAATTCTTAAGTACTCATTATTTATTATATGTTTATATCTTTATTATACGTTTATATTTATTATTTAGTTTTTCATCTTTTCCTATGCTCTTTCACAGGACTGCAGTATTTCAAATTTTAGAAACTCTGCGGTGATGATTAACAGTGTTAAATTATTTTTGATGCTCAATCAGCACACGTAACACAGCTGTAACTAAATACTTTAAGAGTTAATAGAAGAAGGGCCAACAAAGCCAGTTTGTTAACTAAATAGGAAGTTGATTTTAAAATAGACACATTCTGAGGAATTTTTAAGATAGTGAGTTAATAATACTATACGAGTAAAGTGCAAACAGAGATCTGTAAGAAATTTACAGACATTGCGTAATAATTTATTTTACCATATAACAATTTCAGGTGATAAGGTATACAAGTCGATAAGAAATTTACAATAACTAATAGCTGAATATTAATAAAAATTAAAACTTTTACACGAAGTTCTTTTCGATTTTTGTTTGCTTTCGAAGTAATTTCTTCGTTCTTTGTTATTTACTTTCATATTTAGGATTATTTCGCAAAAAGGTTCATATTTATAATCAATTTCGCAAAATTGATTCAAATATTTAATCTGAACTAAGGGATATATAGGATAGTTTAAAAGCATTCGAGGGCTATCTGCTTAAGCAGAAGATAACTAATCGGTTGGTTATAGGATTATAGAAAAGCATTCGATGACTGTCTGCCTAAGGGAAGGGATGCATTCGTGGTGGACTTTCTAAGGGAAACTGGTTCATATCCACTTTTCACTTATTCCATATTACACTTTATTATTTACTAAGTTACACTTTACTATTTATTATTAAATGAAAGAAATTAAAATAAAATTTAAATTTAGCGCCTTGTTTTTCAGATTGCATTTTAATACATAAAAGCTGACATAAATTTCCAGTTTCCGTCATTGTAGTACTACCGATTAAGAATTAATTGCAGGTTAGAAAACAGTTTCGTTGAGAGTCTAACAAAAAACTTAAATAAATGGGGTTTTAATAGTGTAATATACGTTTATACTTGTATTTGATATAGCATATTAAACTCAATGTTTGATATTTTTTTGTAATAATAAATAGCATTTACACGGACATAATTACGACGTGTAAACTAAACACGAATTGAAAAAAAAAATTGAATTATTTGGATTCTTTGAATCGAACTTCAGCGAAATGCCTATCAAAAGGAAATGATATAAATAATTTCGTTTTCCTTTTTCAACAAAAACAAAAGGAATTCTTGCCATTTAATAAAAGAAAAACTGAACTCTGAAAATATACTTCTTTTAAGCATGGGAATTGCAAAGTACTTTTGTGTTACCTAAGGATGAACTGAATAGTTCAAATGGATAATTTGACCAAGAGCCATGATACATCGTACTCTGTATGTAAATATCACTATGCATGAATTGGTAATTCTTATTTTAATTGGACCATGAAATGTCTAGAGCGAACTTTTCTTGCTTACTTGAAGATATAACAATTGATTTTAGGTATTACAATTATGCGAAGTTAGACGAAAACTGTCTTATTCAGCAAGATGACTAGAGGTGAGAGCTGCTACATAATTAGGCCTGGGTTCGAATCTCAAAGCATACACGGATATTTTTTATTATCCATTCGTGTGAAATCGGGGATGGAATATTTTTTCGTGCATCCTGGGCAACACTATTAGAGATGAGGGTAGCCGAATGATGGATGGGTTCTCCCGTTCCCAACTGATGCTTAAAGATCAAGTGTTTGATTATTCACATTCAAAACATTTATAAGCAATGTCTTCTAAAATCTCTTTTAACTTAGAGAATTGCAAGTTATTCCTAAATTTGTGGACGACCGAACGTCGGACGAGCCAATGGTAGTTTCAAGGATAGGGAATGGATGGATGGCGTTTTCGTGGTTTCACTCATGTGTATTTGGATACGAGCCAATATCCTTTATAAAGTCCTCCATGAAGGTATCTTCTCGTTAGGCAGATAGCCCTCGATTGCTTTGCCATAATTAAATAATCAAAATCGGATTCTAACTTTATGGAATAACTGTTATTTAAAAAATCAGAAGAAAAATATGCTACTTTCCCTGCAGTGAAATTATGATAAACGGAAAATAAATTATTTTAGTCTTTGTTTAATTAGATATAAAAGTGTATGTTTGATAATCTCCGCAACTGACATCCATTTTTTTTTAGAATTATGGAAGGAAGCTATTGAAAAAATAGAGAAAGATGAATTTATTCGAGGCAAAGTAAGAGTCGGCGTTCAGACATATTCAACTACTCCTCTTACTTACGTTGATTTAACCGTAGAAAATATACTGGAAATAATCTCAGAATTTCCCAAGAAAGTTGGTGAATTAGGTCAACCGCTGTACGTGGAATTAAAGCCTTTGCATGAATTGGATCCTAAGTTCCCTGCTGTTCAAGAAAACCAGTAAGTTTTTTTAAACGAAATGGAATTTGACAATATTTACAAAATTTTGAATAAGTTTTTAATTTGTAAAATAACTTGCATAACTTACTTGTTATACATTTTTACATGGAAACTTCAATTCATTCTAATGTTATTTCTAAAAATATTTAATGGTTTATCTTTCATTTCAGATATTACAACTACTTGAAAATTTATTTCCCATTTTAATTAATTTTATTATATCATATTTATGCATATTCTTCTATATGCTTTGCCAAAACATTTATAAGTAATTCAAATATTTACTATGTTTATCACCAAATTTTTAATATTTGTTACATGTAGAAGTATTCAAATATTATAATATGTTACTGACAAAGTATGTTGCATTACAGTTCAGTTAAGAAATGTGAATAGCTCAATTAAGATGGAAATATCGCCTAGTAATTTAGAAAATTTGGTGTCAAAATTTTCTGATTTTACAAAAATGAAGGCTTAAGAAACTTTGACGAGGCGTGCATTAAATTAAGGTGAAATTTCGAATTTTGAATCATAGTCAACTTCTTTTAACAGGCTGTACTACAAGCGGAGAACTAGACCTCAAAAAGTTTCTGTTAGATCTTCATTTTGAGTTTATTTCAATGTTTATTGAGAATTTACTAAACTAAATTTTATATTATTCATTGATTTATTTTCTATAAATACTCTTGTGGTTTTTCTTTAATACTGTATTCCTGATTTTCTCATCATGATTACGGTGAGGAATACTTAATTTTGTCTCTTTTTCTGGAAATGGGATTGCAAAGTGTCTGAATTCCTTGTCTGCCCGTTTTTCATGCCTATTGAATAAATGAAATCAAGTTTCTTGATCTTTCTAAATCATTAGTTTAACAACTATTTTAGCGTTAAAGAGCTATTTTGTATAGCAGTTATATTATTGGAAATAAGGCATCTAATTCTGTCTTCATTTGCTGTCAATTTCAACTCCATTATGGAGATATTTTGTAGATTCATAGCAAATACGCTGCACAGTCAAAGATAAATTTTGTTCTACTAATAAAGGAGTAAACTTATTAATTTTTTTTTAATATAGAGGGGTGCATAATATATTTACCATTTTAAATAACAACACAAAAATTTTGGGTGCTTTTATTAATTTTGTGTGATTGCGAAATAACAGTACGCATATAGCCATTTATTGCAGTGTGTAATAGGAACAATTCAAACTCCAGCGAACCTTGAAAATAAGGTCCACATTGTATCCTCCAGCTGTCTTATCCATAATTCTGACGATTTTCCCGGTTCTGCCACAATATTTACTCAGCGTCTGGAACTAGAGTCTGTTCTACTCAGAATAGAATCCCTTCTTTCACTGCCTCAACCCATAACTGTAAAGGCCAGTGGTCTATAGTATACAAATTGCCTCCGCTTTGTATTAGACAATTTATGCAGCCTATTTTTAAGATCCTTGATGTGAGGGAGCCAGGAGAATCTGTCGTCTATAAT